TGGGTATGGGGTTTATTCTTCCAACATGCTGTTTTGCCATCCACTCATCTCCTTCTGAGCCTGGCAGGCCTGAGAATCCATCCTGTCTCTTGCATGTTAAATTGTGAAGCTCTAACCATAGCCCAAGGGAACAGTGTCGAACAACATGATTTTTTAATGAGCACACTCAGTGTGGGTTGCTCTTGTTTAACATAAAAGAAAAACATAATCCCTGCTCTAAGCCATTTGCAGTTTAAGGGCTGGATTGTGGCTCTAAGCAACATCCAGCAGTGGGGGGAAGGTACAGAGGGAGCTACTCCTGAAGGCATTTTTACCAAGTCTGTGGGAGCTCAAAGGGTAGCAACTGCTGATACTCTCATGTATAAACATGGGGAACATGACTGACACAAATTGGTAGCTCAGCTCTCACTCAGGGGGAGGCATGAAGCTTCTCTCTGTATCTGAATGCCAGCAATGATGCAGAGAGAAAGGTCCTCATCTCCACCCCATTTTTCACTTGTGTGGAATTACAGCAGAAGTACACACAGGGATGTTATAGGAGATTGTAGCAGAGCAGACACATTGTTCTCTTTGCCACAAATGCTGATAAGGCTACCAAAGCAATTTTCTTCCTGGGCAAACAGGCTGCAGTTGCCTAAACAGGAAGGGAAAACAGACTTGTGTTCAGCCAAAAAACTGAAGGTAGGCCAAGTAAGGTACTTTTGAGCCATGGCTAGTTACACAGATTGAGCAGAGATGGCATCATGAACCATGTCTTGTGTTTGCCCAGCATATGACTCTGAGATGGCTTCCTCTTTATCACCTGCTTTTAGAGTTCGTAACTCACAAAGAGCCTTGATCTGAAAGTTTTGACAGAAATGGACTTCTTGAATCAGTACTGTTTCAGTCCTTCAGAGGAAAAAAACTTGCCCAGCCGAGGAAGGTCTTGTTGCTACACATAAAAAGCATCTGTTCCTAAACAACCAGCTGTCTCTTAACATTTTTTTTTTCCTGCAGGATATAAAACCAGGAAAAAATAGTTTGAGTCCTCAAACTGGAAAACAAAACCTTCCAGGTAAGAACTGATACTATAGATTCAGAGATTTTATTTTCTTCTTAACATCAGAGAGGCATTTTGCCAAGAGAGAGGCAGTCAGAAGTAGGGTGTTAAGAAATTAGTTCAGGAAGGCATCTCAAAACATGGAAATCTGCCAGGTATCAAATAGGTTGCTATCTAGGGAATGAGAACAGGAAGAAAATAGAGAATGGGAAAAAATGGAATCTGGATAATCTGGGACACTTCCTGCACTTCTACATCTGTATATAGCAAAGACAAAGTGGTGGAAAGAAGATTTATGGAGACAACAGAATATGAATGAAGTGAATGAATTTCATATGAATGAAATGAAGCTGCCTAAAAAATGGAACATTTTTAGACCAAAGGAAGAAACCAGTGGAAAACAGATGCCAACTAATGTCAGGTTAGCAAACCTGACCTTTTGCAAGTATGTATGACTTCAGAGCCCTATTCTAACAGCAGAAATATACACTTGTCCTTAAAAAATACAACACCCTGCTATGCTGGTTAGCAACCCACTACACCTGCCCATCAGAGAGCCAGACACAAAACCTGAGCAGTGGCAACTCATAAGTCTATAAAAGATGTTAGGCATGAATTGTTTAGATAAGTCTGATATAAAGAGGTACAGTATCTCAGTATGAACAAAATTCCCAGTACCCCTTCCTTTGTACATAGGATCTATACAAATATTAAGAACTCTTTAGCCTGACATAATTGTGTAACAGTAAGAATTATACCAGTATTACTATCTGAAAAAAGAAAATAAGTAATTTAACTAATTTAAGTCAATGAAAAACCTGTGTTCAAATCAGGTTTAATCAGGATTGACAAAGAGCTCAATATTCTTAATTTGGCAGTGTACCCATACTTTGGGTAAGGAGAACTTTCCAGCATTTCCTACTTTGGGAAGAGAATCAAAGAATCTGCAATGGCACCTAAACTAAGACCTCATATGGCAGCACTGAAAACCATCTACAGCCCAGACATCCCCAGTGTGGGATGAGCTTGCAAAAAGCCAGCAAAATCTAGCAGATGCCTAAATACAAATGTCTGTGCATGTTTGGACAAAAGACTGGTGAGCTTATTGTGAATATATTGTCCCTACCGAAAGGCAGAGCCTTCTCTCCAAGACCTCTGGTCAGACATGGACAGAAGTCATATTATGGAATCATAGGACGGTGTATGTTGGAAGGGTCCTTGAAAATATTCTAGTTCCTATGGTCAGGGACACCTTCCACTAGACCAAGGTGCTCAAAGCCCCATCCAAACCAGCCTTGTACACTTCCAGGAATGCAGCATTTTTACCTTGCACCTAATGTGCAGGAACAGCCGCAGGTCCAGGCTCATTTCAAAACAGCTTTGTGAAGTCAAGGCACTCTTTTCTGATACAGTGACTAAAGCCTACATTTGAGATAAGAGGAAGTTGCTTCCATCACCCCATCGATCCCCAAAATGTGCAAACCCACATGTCTGTCTTCATAAATGCTGCACAAAATAGACAGAAGATGAGTTTGAAAGGGATGCTGTCCCACTCTCCTTTTGGAGAGATAGTGTAATCCGTCACAGGCACATAAGCAGAATAGGGCAAGGGCTGCCTGATCTAGCCATGTGCTAGGGCAGAATTTCCTTTTCAGGTGTTTTTGTTCAGCATAAATGCATCCACCCTGAAGCCTGTGTGGACAGTACAGGAATGTAACCTTTTGATGACAAGCATATGCACCACGGATAACCTTATCAGACCTCACCACAGGCACACACAGGTTGAAAAACATTTGGCATGACAACAGAGATTTTCCTTGCATCCTAGCCAAGCTTATCTGTGCCGATTCAATCAAACACAACAGTGTGTTGTTAAGTAATGAGTTTCCTAAAAAGGGCCAAACTCTGTGTTATGCCTCATAGGAATAACAGTGTGAGTGGTCCTTTTGTGCACAAGGCTATACAAGTCAATATGATTTCAAACCAACATCACTTTCATTTGGCTGTAGTTTCTTTCCAAGAGAAAGCTGGTTATGATTTTGCAACAGTAAATGGGGAACTGTGCAGACTTTTAAGCTTGGTTATTTTTAATTACTGGTGCAGACATAGAGACACATGAAATATCTGATGAGAGGTGGGAACCACACTTCCAAAAAACTGTTTCCAGATCCCTGTTATTGAAAGCAGTCACAACTAACACAATTTTAAAAATATTTTTGTCCAAAAACAATTATGTCTGTGTTAAGAATTATGGTGTCATTACTCTGTATTAAAAAAAAAAAAAAAAAAAAAAAAAAAAAAAAAGTAATGAAATCTTTGACCTACTTAAATAAATTAAGCTCAGTCCAACCTTCTCCCTGCTGGAGTACTGAGGTTCTCCTCGTCAGTCTGGGAGGGATACCATCAGTGACTCTGCCCACTAGGACAAAAACCGGTGGCATGTAGGGAACATTCTGATATTTGCTTTTGTGCATTGTCCTGCCAAGTCAACAAAATGTTTTCAACAGCTCAGAGCTGTCACTGGACCCTTCTGCATGACAAAGTTTAAGAGTCATTTGTCCATATTGTCTCACCTGGAATTCTGCTATGGGACTTCGCTGTAGTTTCAATGGTGGAAGTTTTGCTCTTGTTTCTGCCCTGCCTTCAATCACCATGGGTGGCTCTGACCTCAGAGACATCTCCTGCTGCCAGTCTTCCTGCTATTCTCAGCTGTTCTCTTCCCCAAGGACTGGTACCCCTTCTCTGTTCTGAGTGAGCAGTGAGCTCAAGGCATAGTTATCACATAAATAAATTAGTAATTTCAAAATTCAGACATACAATGGCAGCTATTATGTGAGGTTTAAATACAAACCATAGGCCAGATGAAGTCTGCACAAATATGCCATTTTACACTTTTGGAACAGGTCATATCATTCATTATTTTATTTAGAAGTGGTTGTCATATTATCTTTTTGTCTCCCCATCTAGCAGGTTTTTTTCCTTGCAGGATTATGGTCATAGGAAAACAAAGAATGTAGGAGAATGGGTAGAAGCAATAGACAGAAACACTTCACAAGATTTTCATAGTGGTTGCAACCAGTATCAGGATGCACACATAGGCCAGGGATGTGTGAGAAGTTAGAGTCCACTAATGCTTATGAACAGTCAAGCTCTCAGGTCAGGTATGCAGTTCACAGAATGACAGAATCACAGCATGGGTCAGGTTGGAAGGGACCATGTGGTTCATTTGGTCCAACCTCCCCGCAGAAGCAGTGTTATCCTAGAGTGCATTGAACAGAATTGCATCCAGATGGTTCTTGAGTATCTCCAGTGAGGGAGACTCTCCAATCTTAGTCTCTCTCTTCCAGTGCAGTTACCTGCACACTAAAGTTCTTCATGTTCAGGTGGAACTTCCTGTGCATCACCTTCTACCTGTTGCCTCTTGTCCTATTCCTTTTCAGCACTGATGCTTGGCTTCATCCTCTGACATCCTCCCTTCAGATATTTATAAATGTTGATAAGGTCCCATCTAAGTTGTCTCTTCTTGAGTCTTAATGGGCCCAGTTACCTCAGCCTATTCTCATAAGAGAGGTGCTCCAGTCCTCTCATCATCTTCCTCACCTACCACTGGACCTGCTCCAGATGCTCCATGACTGTCTTGCAGTGAAGACCCCAGCCCTGGACACAGCAATCCAGGTGTGCCTCACAGGGCTGAGTAGAGGGACAGGATCACCTCCTGTGACCTGCTGGCAGTGGTCTTTATCCAGGTAGTTGTTTCATCATAGATGATTTGCCTTTAATGAATCCATGCTAACTACTCCTCATCACCTCCTTGTGGATAGAAATGGCCTCCAGAATGAGGCATTTAATCACCCTTTTAGGGGCTGAGGTGGGGCTGACTAGTTCTCTGGGTCCTCCTCCTTTCTCTTTTTGAAGACTGAGGTGATGTTTGATTTCTTCCAGCCCTCAGTCAGCTCTCCATGCCATGACCTTTCAAAGATGATTGTGAGCCGCCTCATTATTGTGTCTAACAGATCTCCCAGCACTCATGGATCATCCCAGAAGGGTCCCTCAACCTCTGGATTTCGAGTTTGCCGATGTCTCCCCTAACACAATTCTCCATGACCAGAGGTAAGTCTTTCTCTCAGTGGCCCATCCTGTCTTTGGAGTCTTCTCCAAGAGAGAATGGAGCCTCAGAAATTGTTTTGTCCATCATTCTTGAGGCTTCTGGGCATGTCAGTGATAGTTCACGGGCAATGCCATCAATCAGCAGCTACAAAGATCCAGTGAAGACTCTTGATACTCATCTGAAGAGAAGTATAGTAACCCTATAGTAACCCTACTTTTGTGGTGTCTGAAATTTACTCAATATGGCCTAGAAAGCTGCAGGTCAGGACATGGCCATCAATGATGTCACACCCAATCTCACATTGTGCCAAAGTTTTCTGTTTAAAATGTTATTTTTATTGTTGTTATTAATTACTTGATCATTTCATGATAAAGCATACAAACAAAAGAAAAAGTGAAGAGAAGGCATGTAATAGTATATTCACAGTTAATGGAAACTTTCACTGTGTCAATTGAGTGCAATTGATACAACCTTCAACACAGCTGAGATGGTTCAGTGTAAAACCTGGTTCATAATGCTGTGGGATTCTGACACACATTTAATAGCCATAGCCCTAGCCTCTTCCCTGCCTAAACCTGCCTCGAAAATTTTAATTTCTAGTTCAATAATTCAAGAGCTGTTTTATGTGCAAAATCAGTATTTTCTACCATGAGTAAATTCCCTAAATTGGAAGATTAGAAGCAGATTACACTTAATAAAGAAGTAATTGCCAGACACACGGCCATTAGGGCTCTAAGACACCTCACCTTTCATGCCAGGTCATCCACGCAGAAAATATTGTGACACAGTTTCCTAGTGCTACCAGATTTCTTTCACCTGGAAACACTGAGAAGTCCATTTCATATTTTCAGGCACTAAGTAAGTGGGAGTCCACAAGCCACAGGAGCTGTGACGAGCTAAAGCCCCTACATGTAAGTGCTGGTTAGTCTTTTTGTTTAAGAAAATATTCTAAATCAAACCTAGATTGATCCAGCTATAATCCATGCTGGCTATCTAGCCCATCTATAGAGACAAGTAATTATGATTTGTCCAGGATGTATGTGACCAAGATACCAAGAAGACTTCTCCCAGTTAATTCTTTACAGATTAGATGTCTGGTAGCCCTGGGCAGTAGGACATGGAAATCATTCCCTTTTTCCCTTGGTCTTAAGCAACACTCTGTTTCCAATTCTAGTGGCAAAATAAGAAATTATTTTTATTCAAATGAAATGCTTTTTCAACCAGCAAGAAAATAATTTAATGAATGTTAGTCTTTTTATTATAGGCATACAACAACTGCCTTTCACATGAAATAATTATTAGACATTTATATTTGATAAACAGTATTGTAAATAATGAGCTCAAATGCCTCAGGGAATGAGGATATAAAATCATAGCTTCTAAAATTAAGTAATTTTTAAAGCTAAGCATGCTCAAAACATCTTTCAATAGGTGTGAGGATATGCTAAAATAAAAATAATGGTTTTTTCACCTTTCTAGTTTTGAAGTGTGACTGAATGTATTTAAAACAAAAATTTGAAGAATTTTTTTTTTCTCTGCTGTGGTTATGAATAGCAAGTTTCATCCCTGAAAGTTGTAAAATGACCTAGACATAAATCTTGCAAAAGAAATGTTTAGAATAAGCATAATAATTCAGACCTAACTGCATGGTCATAAATAGGATTCTTTAATGTATAATAGGGTCCAAAGTTTCATAACTCTCACAATAAATCTTGTTTCTGTCTGGGAAAAATGGCAGGGTCATGCTCAAGTGTGCTCATTTAGATTTATAATTTTTTTTAGCCTGGTTCATAAGACTGTTGCCTCAATATCATTAGTGAGTTTTGTAGGCAATATAAATCTTGGATGGAGTTTTTGCAGAAGGCTAATAATTTGTCCTAAAAACTCATGGTTATATTGAATCATTTTCTCACATCATTAAATTAATTTTGTTTTCTCTCAAAGTCTATAAAATTCTTTCTCACAACATTCTAGACATTTCAACCCTGCATGGAAAAGAGCCATAGAGAGGGATTTCACATTAAGTGGCAGTAACATTAAAACCAAAACAGGAATAACTAAAGAAAACAAATCAGAGGCTCCAGTGCAATATTTAGTACGTATCTTCAGTAAAAATCAGATGTACTGATCAGTGAAGCAATTTGCAGGCAGGAGTTAGGAGTGAGAAAGCCTGGGATTTCCTGCCAGCTGCATCACAGAGTTCCTGTCAGATGCTGGCCTCATCATTCAGCTCTTGCAATGCTGCCAAGCCCCAATATGCAAATTAATTAACCAACTCTTCACTTCACCAGCCACCGAGATTAAAAAAATATTTCTGAAAGGACCTCTTTCTTTTCTTTCTAGGCTGGTGGGGGTCCTCTTTTTCAGGTTCTCACCACTGCCTTCCAGAACTGCACACATACCCCGTTTTATCCCTGAACAGAATTAAATTCTCATGCAATCTCTTGGCTCTGGGAGGCCAGGAACTGGGCTGTTCACAAGGTATGTACCATGAGGTCTGCAGTGGAACCAAGAATTGGTAACTACTGTCCTTGGTGTGTCCTGCATGCAATGAGAATGCTCTCCCAATGATTGCATCTACTTCACATGGATTTACAAAGACTTCATTCTCATTTGCAGGTCTCTGAACTGCTCAGGAGAAAGGTGCAGTATCTGTGCCATGCATGAAATGTGGTAACATCTAGCTTTGAATTCTGCTCAACTGTTGGCCAGACAGCTGATGAGACTTATCCAATTTCTAGAGCACTTCATCTGCTCTGTGAAATGGAAAATAGCTGTATTTATGTAAATAATAAATGAAATGCCAGGAGGTGGCAGTTGAAAATATTTACTATGCTTCCTGTGCTTTATTTGGACCAATAAAAACATGTTACTGTGTACTGCAAATGGTTTCCTCTATGCAGCTCTTCACATCAGCTTGCAATAAGAGAGGGTTCAGCTCCTGTGCTGTTACATTGGTGCCTGTCAGTGTAACCCCATCCTCACTTGCTGCAGTGGTAGGAGTATAAAAGAAGGCTCACATTTAGCCCTGCATCCTGCATGTGACTGCTTCTGAACTCCAACACACCAGAGGCAGTCCCTTAACCTTCACACAGACCAAGCACTCAGCTTTGGGAATAGTGGCTTGCAGTGGAGACACTTTTTTTTTTTAATGCTGACTTTCTGAAATTGTATTCTTGCAAGATTTAACTGCATACAAAACAACTGTTAATAAGGTCTTCTTTGATCTTTGCACAGACTTCCATGCTTATTTGATTTTACTGCACTTTGAAGTAGTAGTAGGCTATGCTATGGAAATATAGAAGGAAATCTCTCTAGAGAAACATGGAGAAATTACTACAGTTGGAGAATCATAGAAAACTGAGCTACAAGGGACCGTGAGAAGTTATACACTGAAAGCATTTAATTTAGCATGGATTTTGGAAGATTACTACAGTGTAACAATGTCAAATCAATTTAAAATTGTTCTTTGCAGCACTATTGTGTTAAAAAGGAAGAATACTTGCTTCTGAATGCCCGGTGAAATGAGGTAAGTGGAACATTCCCTGTTCCAAAATAGTTTCCAACACCTGGACTCTGCCTTCCTCCCTGCTCAAGGCATTCCATAGCAGTGCAACTTCAAAAAGATATTGCACTTGTAGTTAGTGATCTCTTAGAAATACTAGAGAGAGTAGAATCAGATATGGCATACCACAAAGTTTTATGTGGTGGTTTTGTAATGAGAGAAACAATAATTTTTGTAGTAGAAGGGGAAAATGGTCCTCTGGTGTGCTTTTTTTACAGCAGCCAGGAAAAACTAGCAATATGGTAAAAAGTAATTTTATGTTTTGACCTCATTCCTTCCAAAGTGCTTTCATGTGCTATGGGATCTGAGCTGTCACCCCTATACCAATTACTTGAATTCTCTAATCTCTTTCCATTACTCTGCCAAATCTGAGTCTCTTAATCCCTTCCCTTATTGGAGGGGAAAATCTGTCCTGCACCCATAGAGATTGAAGAGATACTAAAAGGATGAGGAGAGAACCCATGCACTCGTTTGCCTTTCAGCAAGGAATAAATCGTAAAAGTGGGAAACTGCCTCAGAGTGTAAAGGAAAAGAAAGATGTGACACAGGAGTGAACCTGATTTTGTCTCCCCTGTTGTAGGCCATAAGTAAATCTGCTGAAGCAGCAGTCACACAGGGTTCAGTGTCACCAGGGGCAGAGTTAGGCCATTTTAACGTGCCTTGTGTCTGTCACAATAGACACACATGAGGGCAATTTACATTTTATTGCATTGTAGATGTGCTACTCTTACTATTCTACTTAGAGTCAGCCAGTAAAGATCTTACAAGGCAGCAGGAAAACAAGAGAAGCAAGCAGTAACTTAGCCACTAAAGCATATATCCATAAGCCTCTAAGCATCATAAGGTGATAAAGAGGTTTTAACCCTTTTCTTGCTTTTCTGAAATGTTCTTTGAGCACTCAGAAACTGCCATGATGAACTATAGCACTCAGAAGCTCTCATACTTTTGGGAGCCCAGGAGAGTTTCCTGTTTTAGCAAAAAACCCAACAAAAACAGGCCTTTCATCTGAGGGAAAAGACCACTGTGAACCAAATCCTTTTGCCAGGAGGAGTCCCTCTGTGGTCAGCAGGCCTTCTGATTCACTGGCAAGGTTAAGAGGATACTCATCTTCCCCCAGAAACCTCCACACTTTTTTTTTTCCTTTTTTTTTTTAGGAAAAGACACAGGTAAGCATGAAGTAACCTGTGTGAACCAGCAGAGGCTATCAAGTCTTGAAAGTGGGAAAGCTACTCATTACAGCCATAGCTGTATTGCAAACTCTGCACCAGGTCAGAGCACAACCACCCCCCATCCCTGCCATCCCACCCTTGAGGGTCTTGGGCTAAATGAGACACATTCCCTCTGGTTCACAGAAAACAAGAACAAGATGTTGGCTGTAATAACAACTGGCAAGTTGAAGGAAATAACGCCTCCATCTCCGTAGTGGACAAAAGCCTCTCAGGAATAAAAAATGAGTTATTTCCTCTAGCAAGGGCTTCCAGACCACACTACATCAGCCACTTCACACTGGCCCGTGCCAAAACAGGGCTTGTCTCTGCTAGCAGTGGTTTGGTTGTCAGACTTGCTCTCTAAGTCTCACTGCCAAGGGTTTCTGACCAACGCAAAGTTGACTCTGGGCGCTGCATCCACCTGGCAACTGGCTCTGCCAGGATGTCTTCCACTCTGAAGCTGCAAATGCAGATGCCAGCTCCTCAGCTGAAAAATACAGCTGCTAGCCCTGGTTTCCTCCTTCTCTCATTTTCAGTGAGTAGATTTGCCTTCTGATACTGTAAGCACATGAGCCTGCTGCAGGACTGGAGATCTGGGTTAAGATATGCACACTGGTCTGAGCAAGACCCAGGATTTATGATTATGCTGTGAAGCACTCAGGAGCTTTTGGGGAAATTGGATTTGATGCTTTAATATGCACAATAAAGACATCAGAGTTACATTGGTGCTTGCATTACAGCTCAAAGTTAAGTGATTTCTAGTTTTTGTGATACTTAATTTGCGGTTGTCCTGCCTCTGTCATTTTATATAGCAACTGACAGATTCATTCCAATTGTCCCAAGAAAAAGGACCATTTTGCCACATTTTCACAGGGAACAGAGAATCTAATCCCACAGTTCTCACTGAATGATGTGCCAGATCCTCATTCATACAGGCAAATTACCTTTAAAGGTTACTCATAGTGAATGGTTGTAGGATCATGCCTCCAGAAAGCACTTGTTGGTTTAATTTGCTCCTGCATTGCTTTTTGTCTCTCCTGGTATCACAACTGAAACTGCAGCCAGCCATCCTGTTTAATTCATGTGCATGTATTTTTGTCTCCACAAGTGTGAGAGGACAAGACATGATCACTGTGCTCTCAATAAAGCAGAATCTTCTCAGTGAGTAGTGTGCCAGTGGCAGTACACCAAAATTTTGAAACCAAGAGTACAGCAGGTATATAGATTTTGACAGAAGATTAAATTATAGTAGACAGTTCTATTTCCTTGCCCCCTCAATTGCTTCTGTTAATGACACATTCAGATCAATAAAACTATGTTAACTAAAACAGCAAAAGAAATTGCATCAGCTATGTTTGGAACCTGCTCCTAAATCTTTCAAATTGCTTTCCATAAATGAAGAAATTATTTTCCCAGCTCTCGTGGGTGTGAAAGTCTCCTTTTTCAGATGAAAAAAGTAACTTGCATCCAAGGAAGAAATAAAATGAATAGTGTCAGAGGGTGCTGCTTTTTTCGGGGACATTTTGCTCCACCTATATGCATGTAAATATGACAGGCATTCTTGCTTTAACCAATTTTCATTGTCAGCAATCCTCCCTTTTCCTCCATATCTATCAGTCACTCATGACATGTCTTTACTCTTTATTGCCTGACAATACATGGCCTGTGATAACTACCAATTTTCATGTTCATAATAATTATATCACTGTTGCCATCTACTGCTTTGTTGCTTTCAAGTTGTGTTTCTGAGCTTATCATGAAAACAAAAAGCTGCTCATCAGTCTGAGAAGTCATCAAACAACAGCTAGAACAACACACATTTATACTGGGAGAATGGCAGACATCCCACTGCATTAACACCACCACTGTGGAGGTTAATGACAATGCAATGCAAACAATATCCCTCTAAACTCTCATTTGAGTTTCACTCAGATTTCCTACTCAGATTGCTCCTGGAGAAGTACATCTCAGATCCCTAAATAACAAGCAGTACTGACTCTCTGAGTGATCCCTTCAGTACAGGTTTGAGTAATCCACAAGTGTGAATCTCAGGTGTGAATTATGTGACTTGCAAATGGCAGGGGGTGAGATGGCACAAAAGGAGGTGAAAGGTTGAGGGGGTTGTTTCTCCTCTATTAATGTCAATTGTTTCAAGGCAGGAAACGTGGCCATGGGGTCACAGGGCAGTGCTGTCCTTCCCTTCAGGCCAGGCTGGAGCTGAGTTTATTGCTGCTGAAAAGAAAGGTACCCACTGCTGTGTTCCTAACTCAGCACCAGAAGTGGTTTCTTCAAGAAATATTACAGGCCTGGAGAGCACATTGATTGTGAAAATTCTCACACACTTTCATTGTAGGGTTTTTGTCCTATAGCCACCACAGTTCCTCGTGCTGTGCTGCTACACTGATCTGCATTCAATGACAGTCTTCAGCTTGTGGAGAAATTTTGCAGTTTTACTGGCAAAGTACAGATGAAGTTCAAAAGAGGCAGATAATATTCATCAGCACATCAATTCAGTAAAACAATGCTTTTATTCATTTTGGGCCATGGAAATTAGCTGGCTACTTCTCTTCTGACACTTAGCAGTGCAAAGCTAGTGCTTTCAGACCCAAGTTGCTCTGAAGTTACCAATTTTTTATTATGTCATCACCAATTTTCTTGACTGACCCAGTCTTCTGAGCACTGATTTGGAGCAACCTGGCCTGACCTGACCTGCTTTTTCTTTCTAAAAGAATTTGTTATTTTTACAAATCTAAACTTTGGTTTCCAATTCCCTGTTATCTCAGAGAGAAATTAGCTGTATGTCCTTCAATGCTTCCAAGCAGAAAAAAATTCTCTCCACTATGATTCAGAGCTGAAATACTGCAATGAGTAGATGACCCTGTCCAGGCACTATAAAAGCTTTGTCCCTGGCTCTTGTAAGAAAGGAACAGAAATGAGATGCTAGACTTCTCATCTGATTCCTTTTCCCATCATGGTTGCCAAAACTGAAGGGAGGAAA